GTCGAAGGAGGTGATCCTGCCCCTCTACTCTGCTCTTGTGAGACCTCACCTGGAGCATTGTGTGCAGTTCTGGTGTCCTCAACATAAAAAGGACATGGAACTGTTGGAACAAGTCCAGAGGAGGCCACGAGGATGATCAGGGACTGGAGCACCTCCTCTATGAAGACAGGGTGAGAAGAGAAGGCTGCGTGGAGACCTCATAGCAGCCTTCCAGTATCTTAAGAGGGCCTATAGGGATGCTGTGGAGGGACTCTTCATTAGTGACTATAGTGAAAGGACGAGGGGTAATGGGTTAAAACTGAAACAGGGGAAGTTTAGATTGGATCTAAGGAGGAAATTCTTTCCTGTGAGGGTGGTGAGGCACTGGAATGGGTTGCCCAGGGAGGTTGTTAATGCTCCATCCCTGGCAGTGTTCAAGACCAGGTTGGACAAGGCCTTGGGTGGTATGATGTAGCATATGGTGTCCCTGCCCATGGGAGGGGGTTTGGAACTGGATGATCTTAAGGTCCTTTCCAACTCTAACGGTTCTATGATTCTATGATTCTATGAATCTATGACTTCTCTATGACTCCTCTATGACTCCTCCGTCTCCTCCATGACACCCCTATGACTCTATGATACTATGACTCCTCTATGACACCTCCATGAATCCTCCATGACTCCTCTATGACTCCTCCATGACTCCTCTATAATTTCTCCATGACTCCTCTATGACTTCTCCATGACCCCTCTGTGACTCCTCTATGACCACTCAATGACCCATCTATAAGTCCTCTATGACCCCTCTATGACTCCTCTACAACTGCTCTGTGACCCCTCTATGACTCATCCAGGACTCCTGTATGACTTCTCTAGGACTCCTCCATGACTCCCCTGCGACTCCTCTGTGACTCCTCTATGACACCTCTATGATGCCACTATGATGCCTCTATGACCCCTCTATGACCCCCATTATGACTCTACTATGACTCCTGAGATTGCTCTATGAGCCGTCTATTAGCCATCTGACTCCTCTATGCCTCCTCTATAACACTATGACTCTTCTACGACTCCTCTACGATATTACTGACCACCTTTACAGCAGTGAAGATGAAGGAACAACCTGCTCGGATACATTATTCAAGAATTAAGAAAGCACCAGAGTCAGAGAAGACATGGCGGATCGAACCTTCAGGACCCTTACGTGTGAAATTTCGTCGGTCATAATTTGGACTCATATGATAACTGGCGCACGAGCTTGGAACCAGAACTTACACCTGAAGTTAGTGCAGAATATTACTAATGTTTTTCATCGTACTGACTGTTGGGTGTGTGCACAGTTGCCTAAATCAGGAGAAAGCCTGGATCTCCCATTAATTGGAGTTCCAATTAAGGGGGCATGCACCTTAGGTGCTGTAATACCCAATGTTACTATTATCAACAGGTATCCTTCTGGGACCTGGATTAGAAGCTTTGCTAAACGGGTTAAGAGAGGGTTTAACCCTATTATCGAATGACACACTGCATTTCATAGTTTTGTAAGAGGGCTAATTCCATCTTTGGGAGTAAGTGAATCAGAGAAGGCAATTGTAAATATCTCAGCAACCATAGAGGAAATGGAAAGTAAAACCATTGATATAATTCAGGCAGAACAAGAAGAGATAACCAGCCTGTCTAAAGTGGTATTACAAAACGATTAGCTCTAGACATGTTACTGGCATGACAAGGAGGGGTTTCTTCCATAATCAATGAAAGTTGTTGTTCCTATGCAGACTAAAGTGGCAGAATCGAAACAGATCTGGAGGAAATTTGGAAACAAACTAAGATATTTCATGAAATGGCCATGGATGACACCTCCTGGGGTTTTGAAGAAATATGGAAAAATTTCACTTCATGGTTACCTGATCTCTCCTGGTTGAGGCAACCGGTTGCAGGAATATTGATGTTATTTGTTTTAATATTGATTACTTGTGGTATGATACAACGTTCCCTCTGGTCTTGTAAATGGTCTATGATAAATTAGGAAGATTGGCAAAGGAACGAAATTAAGCACCAGGTAGAAACGGGAAATTATTTCAAAAAGACTTTAGACGGTAATGGTAATATAAAAAATGTTGCAAAAGAATTTGCAAAAGGACAGAAAAAGGGGGAATTTGAAACAAGGAGGAGTAGAAGGACAGGAGGATTGTTATGTCTGTGGTGTACCCCTTGGGTACAGCAGCCTTGAGGGAGACCGTGCCAAGAGCTGTGCTGAAGCTGAGGGAAACCACATCCACTCTTTGCCTCCTCACGCACAACTGCAGGCTCTCAGCTTGGCCAGGCAGCAGTTACCCTTCGGACGGCTTTTAGGTGCCCAGAGGTGTCACCCAAGAGGACTCTGATGCTGGCACACGCCTCACCAAAGGCAGCTTGTACAGCCTGGGCTCTCCTGGGTTGCCCTTGGCACCCTTATCAAAGGTAAGCACAACATGTCCTTGTCCTCTCTCCCAAGGGACCTCTGCCAATACAATAACCTTTCACAAGGGGGATCCCAAAGGAATGCCGATCTTCCCCTGTAACGGCACTGCCACTGTCCTGCCTGTTACACCGCGTCCTTCATTCCTCCCATCTTTCGTAGATTTTCCTTTCAAATAACCCTTTCAAATAACTTCGATCAGATGTTCTTTGTAATCTTCCTGCACTCGGAAACCTCCCCAGTTCCCTGGAAGACAATCTGGAAGACTTGACAAAAACTACACGGTGAGACATGGCTCATCAGGGTTTAATGAGCCCCACGGTGTATTTGGGCTGAGGCCGTGAACCTCAGGTGCTGAGAGGAGACTGAGGAAACCTCTCAAGAAGTCCAAGTCAGAAACAAAGACCCAAGAGTGTGCAGCATTAATGGGCCCCACTGAGGGCTGCTGCTGACAAAGCCTCCCCAGGGACTCGTTAAAGCAAGTAACTGCAGGCTGTGATTACAGGAGACAAAGGCAAAGTGCAGGTGTCTGATGGTGAGAAAACCCTTGGTTTGTTTGATGATGCAAAGGCCAAGCCCTGACCACAGCCCTTGGAGAAGCACAGCCTGAAATCCTGAGAATGAAAGCTCTCCTCATAGGCCTTGATGAAAGAGGCAACTGCCATAGCCCAGGGCACAGAGGCCTTTTGCTCTTTTGGGCCTTTCAGCCATGCCAGAACCCTGTCATCTCTGCTGCAGGCTGTCCTACACTGGCCCATGCCTGCACCTCTTTCCCTTCAGGCTGTTGACACCCATCTTGCTTTCCCACCTAGCTCTCACCTGGCATTTCTGTACCTTCAGTCCCATCTCTGCACCCATCGCTGTCTGTTCCTTGAAACATAAAGCCATGGGCTGAGCCAGACTGGGTCTGGGTGACCTCTTGCACCACAAGTCCACCTTTTGAGAGACATTTCTCTTTCCTAACTTTGAGTCTGAACCTTCCAAGCTGCACTTTGCAGAGGTTTCCTTCTCTTCCTGCTAGCAAGAAAACCTACATCATCTCTGCAGCCACATTTCACCTAGTTGTAGGCTGCTACTATAGTGTCAATTCAGCAGGTGGAGTGAATATCATTCAGCAAGCGGATGTAAAGGGGACTTATAGAAGAATGGGTGATGCCATCAGTATAGAGAACTAAGCACCATGGGAGAGCAGTGGGAAAAGGCAATGGTCTGGATTGAGAACTTCTTGGCAAGAGCCAAAAGGAAAGGTGGTGTCCTTGGGTGCAAGGTACCCCATGCTCTGGGGACAGGGTGCCTCATCTGGGACAGCTTCCTGCCTGTAGCACCCTCTCCGATGCACAAACCCCACACTCTGCCCGCACTCACAAGTGTCTCACAGAAGCTTTGCACTTCCCCTGCAGCAGCAACACCTCACTGCAGGAGGTTCCTGCATTCCCCAGGCTCAGGGATGGATGCTGCATTCCAGGCAAGTTTGGGTAGTGCAGGAGAGGGAGACAGGAATGTGGGCTCATGGGGCATGATGAGCAGCGTTCAGGCACCCCCAGCGGTGGGCATTCCCCATGTGCCACTTGGAGGCATGTTCCCATGAGGGGAAGTTCTCAGATAGCCTGGGCAGGGAGTGAGGGGAAAGTGCAGCCCAGCCCTGGGGAGGGCACATTCAGGCAGCTCTCTTGGGGTCTGGCACTGGAGGTGGCTGCTGGCCGTGCTCTGCTGCCCACAGCCCTTTGCTTCTCCCCGTGAGAGCTCTGTCATCTGCCCTTTGAAACCGTGCTCCCCTGCTTTCAGCACAGGACAGGTGTTTGTGGGGGTTCTTAAGATCACTTTGTGTGTGAAGGCATCATATACAAGTGTTGTAAGCAGAGGGCAAATGGGAAAGGACTGATGGACGCTGCAGCCCTCCTTGCTCTGCACTAAGCTACAAGGAGCTGAGAACTTCTCCCTGTTTCAATATTGTTCTGACTTTCTGTCATACAAAGAATGTTTTATAGCACCCCCCTCCCAAAAAAAAAAAAAACAAAAAACCACCTCAGCAGTGTTATGCCAGTAAATAAATAACACAGTCCAAATGACTCTAAGGCCATGCTGATCCTCTTGTGCAGCCAAGACTCACTTGAGTCATGAGTACAAGTAGTGAACTTTACAATGAAGTTGGATTTCATCTGTCATCCCTTGTGAACATCAGAGTTGGACAAAGCACTGCTTCAGAGCAAGGCTGACTCTCATCCAACCTGGCCTTGAACACTGCCAGGGATGGGGCAGACACAGCTTCTCTGGGCACCGTGTGCCAGTGTCCCACCACTCTCAAAGGGAACAACTTCATCTGAATGTCCAAGCTGAATCTCCCTTTTTTCAGCTTAAAGCCATTCCCCCTTGTCCTGTCACTGCACAGCCTCATAAAAAGCCCCTCTCCATATTCTTTGTAGGCCCTGCTTAGACACGGGAAGATTGCTAAGATGTCTCCCTGGAACATTCTTTTCTCTGGGCTGAAGACCAACATCTCTCAGCCTGTTTCCATTGGAGACGTGCTCCAGCCCTTAGAGCATCTTTGTGACTCTTCATAAGCCCGTCATTGTACGATCAGAAGTGAACAAGGGTTAGAAGGGACCCCAGGAGGTCTCAAGTCGAACCTGTCAGGAACAGGGTCAGATCAAGTGGTTCAAGGCTTGATTCAGGCTGAGCTGGAAATTCCCAAGGCCAGAAACTGCACAGGCTCTCTGGGTGACCTGATGCAGCCCTTGCCTGAGCCTATGGGAACAAGGTTTCCTTCTGTACTGCCTGAACCTCTCCTCTGTCACTGTCCCCTACTGCCTTTTGTCCTCCCACCAGGCACCACGGTGAGGAGCCTGGCTCTGTATTCTCCATGTGCTCCTTGCCGCTACAGGCAGCCAGTCCCCAACAGCCTTCCCTTCCCAAGATCTCAGGTCCCCATCAGCCTTCCCTTCTCCAGGCTGGACAAGCCCAGCTCCCACAGCCTCTCTCCACAGGCACTGTGATCCAGTCCCTGCCTGTCCTGAGGGCCCATTGGTAAACCCACTCCTTCTTGCCAATAGCATTCCTGAACTGGGGATCTGAAACCTGGATGGAGGATTCCAGATCATCCCTTCCCTTGTTCTCCTGCCGTGCTCCTGCTCATACAGCCCCCGATGCTGCTGTCCTCCCTTGTTGCCTCCTGTCCAGCTCCTGCCCACCCAGACCTTTCCCATGGGCTGTTCTCAGCCAGGCAGCCCCAGCCTGTGCCGTTGCAGGGCAGTTCCCTGCAGGGACCCCTGTGTTCCCTGCTCCCCTGCCCAGGACTCCCTGAGAGCTCTGCAGCCCCCCCATGCTTTCCCATCGCCCCACACCAGCACAACAGCCCCATTCAATGGGCTCCCCAAGGGCTCTTCCTGCTCCAGGCACAGAGCAGCCATCCCAGAGCTGGAGCAGCCAGAAAGCTGCTTTCATTCCCCTTCACTCCTGTCATGTGAGGACATATCACAGAGAAGAAGTTGCTGCAGGATCATTTATTTCCCTTAAATACAGTCAGAGACCAGAGTGACACAAAGTCTGTGGGTCACACAACACGAGTGGCAACTTAATTAGGAGATGAAAACTGACATTTCTATGAAGACAACATAATCACAAATTGAAATAGGAAAACAAATGTAAAGCAGGAAAGACAGACATGGCCTGTCATGACCTACACTGGAAGCCCTTTCAAGGCTAAAGCAAGCAGCGTATATCTGCTGAAACATATCTGGTCACCAGCTTCCTCACAGCATCCTTGAGCTCCTGGTTCCTCAGGCTGTAGATGAGGGGGTTCACTGCTGGAGGCACCACCGAGTACAGCACTGACACCACCAGATCCAGGGGTGGGGAGGAGATGGAGGGCGGCTTCAAGTAGGCAAAGACAGAAGTGTTGACAAAGAGGGAAAGCACGGCCAGGTGAGGGAGGCACGTGGAAAAGGCTTTGTGGCGTCCCTGCTCAGAGGGGATCCTCAGCACGGCCCTGAAGATCTGCACATAGGACCCCACAATGAAAACAAAACAGCCAACAGCAATCAGGACACCAACCACAACAAGCCCAACTTCCCTGAGGTAGGAGTGTGAGCAGGAGAGCTTGAGGATCTGGGGGATTTCACAGAAGAACTGCTCCACAGCATTGCCTCGGCACAGGGGCAGTGAAAATGTCTTGGCTGTGTGCAGCAGAGCATTGAGAAACCCAGTGCCCCAGGCAGCTGCTGCCAGGTGGACACAAACTCTGCTGCCCAGGAGGGTCCCATAGTGCAGGGGCTTGCAGATGGCCACGTAGCGGTCGTAGGACATGACAGTGAGGAGAAAATACTCTGCTGAAATGGAAAAAAGAAAGAAAAAGAGTTGTGCAGCACAACCTGTGTAGGAGATGGCCCTGGTGTCCCAGAGGGAATTGGCCATGGATTTGGGGACAGTGGTGGAGATGCAGCCCAGGTCCAGCAGGGAGAGGTTGAGGAGGAAGAAGTACCTGGGGGTGTGGAGGCGCTGGTCGCAGGCTGTGCTGGTGATGATGAGGCCGTTGCCCAGGAGCGCAGCCAGGGAGATGCCCAGGAAGAGCCAGAAGTGGCAGAGCTGCAGCTCCCGTGTGTGTGCGAATGGCAGGAGGAGGAACTGGGTGATGGAGCTGCCGTTGGACATCTGCTGCCTCTGGGCATGGGGCATCGTCAGAGGAGAAAAAGGCAGTGACAGGTTAGGACAGGAGGGATGTCAGATACAGAAGTTCAGTTTACACATTCACGACTGAGCACATTTTAGTAGGAGAGGAGAGGTTCAGCGTCATCGGCAGTCATGTCATTACACTGCTGAGGCTTCCTCCTAGGTACAATCAGAAGAGCATTGCATCAGGCAAAAGGCTCAGTTCTTTGCAGAACCAAGAGAGCTGCAGTGTCCATCAGTCCTCTCCCACTTGCCCTGTGCTCAAACTTGCACTGCCTGTAAGGTGCCTTCACACACAAATTGATCTTAAGAACTCCCACAAACATCTGTCCTGTGCTGAGACCAGGGGAGAACGGTTTCAAAGGGCAGATCACAGAGCTCTCATGGGGAGAAGCAAAGAGCTGTGTGCAGCAGAGCACAGGCAGCAGCCACCTCCAGTTCCAGACCCCAAGAGAGCTGCCTGAACGCACCCTCCCCAGGGCTGGGCTGCACTTTCCCTGCACTCCCTGCCCATGTCTCTGCTGCCCGGAGCTGTCCCTGCCAGGAGCTGCTGCTCTGTGCACACCTCTGCTCCCTCTCAGTGCTCCCAGAGCCCATGCCATGGGCTGTGTGCTCAGCTCTGCCCTGCACACCCCTGCCTGTGCAGGGGCTCAGGAGCAGCTCACACAAGCCCTCACAAGACTCTCGGTGCCTCCCCCAAAGCAGAGAAGTAAATTCCCAGCTCCCACTGCCCAACCTGCCCACCAAGAGGGAAAACCATCAAAGCTCAGAATCCTTCCCTATCAGGTAAATGATGCCTCAGTGTCTTTCAGAAGGACCCTCTGAAGAAGTGCTCAGAGTGACGGCAGATTGGAGCAGCGTCACCCACCCAGCACTTCCCTTCCCTGCCAGGGGTTTCTCCTTTCCCCACAGCTCCCCCCGAGCTCTATGGGGAGCTCCCGGGCAGGCCGAGTGCTGACCCTGGCAGGCAGCAGAGTCCCTGCCCCTGCACACAGCCTTTGGGCTGCAGGGACCCTGCTGCAAGGGCAGCGCTGGGCACCCCTGGCTGCACACCCACATTCACACCCTGCAGCCAGCCCCGGCACAAGGGACCTGCCTTGTCCTGTCCCTGCATGGTGCAGGGGGAAGCCCTGCTCTGCAGCACGTCCTCCACCTTATCTACAGAGAGAAACTGCAGCTGCATTGCCCTGCACCCAGTGCCTTACCACAAACAGGGCTGGGAAGGTTTCTCCTTCAGAAGGTTCCTCCTCCTCCTCCTCAGCATCCTCCACTGCCAAGTGCCTTTAAGCTCCCTGTGTCTCGCAGGTCTCCCCTCAGTCCCAGCTCAGCAGCAGAGGCCCAGCCCAAGGTGGCTCTGCCTCTGCCCCACTGGGCTCCTTCCAGGGCTCCCTGGGGCTCCAGGGAAACAACATGGGAAACAGCCTGATGATACAAAGATTTAAGTCTAAAAATCTTTGTTTCTTACAATCAATCAATTAATTTGAAAATGGCCCTTTGAGAACATCAAGTCCAACCATTAACCTATCTATGGCAAGTCCACACACTGAGCATGAGAATATCTCTGGTGCGATACCCCGTTTGGATGGTCAGCAACAGCAACTGGGGCTTTAAAGTTGAATTTTACATCCTACCTTAATTTCACTAATTTATATCCTATTCTGTTTGTTGTTAAACATTCTGCTATACATTAGAGCATAGAAATCAGCTGAACAAGTTATGCTGATGCAGAAACCTGTCCATATATATAATTGTAATTAAACGACTCTCTGACGTCTCTATGACATCTCTATGAGTAAAGCAACTCCTCTATGGGTAAAGCAACCAAACATCGCCCTCAATTTATAACTGGAATTCAGCACTACTCTGTTTGCTGGCACAGCGGCAAGAGGTGAGCACACCACTCTGAGAAAGATGGACTGACTTTAGTTACAGGGTGGAATGTGTTGATGCACTTCCCCCCCATTTCCTAGAGCCCTCTGCTTCCCCAGGAGTTCCTGTTAGGCCCCAGCCTTTGCACAGTGCAAGGAGTTGGATGCTGGCTGCTCCCTGGCTGCACCAGGAGCTCTGGTTGCCTGGCAAAGGTGGGAGCAGCACACAGAGATCAGGAAAGTTGGATACTCCCTGCTCATCCCAGGAGCTCTTTCAGGTTGATCAGTCATTCCCTAAATCCTAAACAGTTTCACAAGAGGCATGGGGGACATCTCTGGGAAACATGTTCCAGTGTCTCACCACCCTCACCGGAAAGAATTTCTTCAGAGAACACAGTTTCTGTTTCACTGCAGACAAAGGAGGCAGGAGAGAAGGGGTGGGGAGCACGCACCCCAGCCCCGAGTCTGCACAGGGCAGCGCGGGGTGCTGCTCTTCACTACAGCACAGCTGGGCTGAACTGAGTCAGTGCTTACACAGAAACCTGTCCTTGTCCCTGATGAAGCTCTACAGGCCACAGGCTTCTCCCCAAGTACCAGCCCATCTGTTTTTCTTGTCACGTCTTGCACAGTGTCACAAGCTGTGGCACAAGGGGAGGCCCTTGTTGCTGTTTCTCCTGGAACACAGGGAAGTAGAAAATGAAATACTTTTTTAATAATGAAACCCATTCCAGCTACCACGGAAAATATGGAACAAAATGCTAGAGCCCTACAGGTTTTACCAGGAAGAGCAACAATTAACTAAAAATTCCCTCCTGCGCTGTTTCCTTTCCCAGCCCATAGATAGTTTCCTCAGTAACTGGCAAGTGCACATGACACAGAAGAGATCTGTGTGTCTGCTGCACATGAAGGTGAGCAGTTGCTTTTGGTGTTAGAGCTGTAGAGTCAGATTTATCTCCAAAGCAACTCAACCATGGACCAAGGAAACAGGCAGGGAATTTTCAGCTGGACCTGCAGTAAGGTAAGAAAAGGCAAGGCAAGAAAAGGCAAGGCAAGGCATGGAAAGGGAAGGAAAGGCATGGTGAGGAGACGCAAGGCAAGGCAAGGCAAGGCATGGCAAGGAAAAGAAAGGCATGGCAAGGCAAGATGAAGCAGGGCAAGGAAAGGCAAGGCCATTCCAAGCCAAGCAAGGCAATGAGAGGCGATTCAAGGCGATGCGAGGCAAGGCAAGGGAAGGCAAGGAAATGCAAGGTAAGGACAGGCAAGGCAAGGCAAGGCCAGGCAAAGCCAGACCAGGGCAGGCAACGCCAGGCCAGGCATGGCAAGGCAATGCAAGGCAAATCAAGGCAAGGCAAATCAAGGCAAGACAAGGCAAGGTAAAGCAAAGGAAGGCAAGGCATGGCAATGCATGGCAAGGCAAGGAAAGGCAAGGCAAAGCAAGGGAATGCAAGGCAAGGCAAGGGAAGACAAGGCAAGGCATGGCAAGGGAAAGAAAGACCTGGCGAGGTAAAATGGGGAGAAACAAAGCAATGCAAGTCAAGGCATGGCAAGGGAAGGAAAGGCATGGCGAGGCAAGGCAACGCGAGGCGAGGCAAGGAGAGGCAAGGCAAGGAAAGGCCATTCCAGGCCAGGCAGGGTGAGGCTAATCGAGGCAAGGTGAGGCGATCTGAGGCGATGCCAGGCAAAGCAAGGCAAGATGAGGCGAGGCAAGGCAAGAGAAGGAAAGGCATTGCAAGGCATGGCAAGAAAAGGAAAAGCAAGGCAAGGCAAGGGAAGGCAAAGCAAGGCGAGGCAAAGGCAGGCAAGGCAAGGGAAGGAAAGAACTGTTGTGGTTTAAAACCAGTCAGGCAGCTCGTTCACTCACTCCCCCCCTTCTTTCCTGTCCCCTACTCCCAGAGGGACGGAGAGGAGAATCCAAAAGAATGCAAGTCCCACGGGTTGAGATACGAACAGTTTAGTAACTAAGGTCTAACACACATCACTACTGCTACCACCAATAATAATAATGACAAAGGAAATAACAAGGGAAGAGAATACAACATCTCACCACCAGCCGACTGATAACTCACCCCCCAGCCCTACCAAGCACCAACCGATACCTAGTCCAACCCGGCAGTCCTCTAGCCCTTCTGGGTAACTCCCTGTTACATCCTGGGCATGACATGATGTGGCTTGGAATACTTCTTTGGCCACTTTGTGTCAGGTGTCCTGGCTCAGATTCCTCCCTGATTCCCCTCCTCCCTCGCAGAGCATGAGGCTCAGAAAGTCCTTCGTCAGACCAAAACATTTGCACAGAAACTAAAAACATTGGTGTTATCAGCTCTGTTCCCAGGCCGAAAGTCAAAACTCCCCTATGACTCTTCTTTGACTCCACGATGACTCCTGTATGAGTCCTGCATGAGTCCTCGATGACTCCTCTATGTCTCCTCTATGAACCTATGACACTATGACACCTCTAAGAGACCTCTATGACTCCACTAAGACGCCTCTATGACCTCTCTATGACTCCACTATGACTCCTCTATGACCCCTCTAAGACGCTTCTGTGACCCCCTACGACTCCACTATGACCCCATTACAACCCCTCTATGACCGCTCTATGACTCCACTATGACTCCACTATGACCCCTCTATGACCCATCTGTGACTCTTCTATCAATCCTCTATGATGCCACTATGACTCATCTATGACTACTCTACGACTCTTCCATGTCTCCTCTACGACACCTCTACGAGTCCTCTACGATTCCTCCACGACTCCTCTACAACTCCTCTACAATTCTTCTATGATTTCTCTATGACTCCCCTTTGACACCACTATGACTCCACTATAACTCCTTTATGACTTCTGTATGAGTCCTTGATGACTCCTCTATGGCTTCTCTATCAATCTATGACACTATGACTCCACTATGACACCTCTATTAATCCTCTATGACTACTCTCTGACTCCTCTGTGACACCTCTATCACTCCTGTATGACTCCGATATGACTCCTGTATGACTCCTCTACGACTCTATGACTCCTCAAGCACTCCCCTATGACTCTTCTGTGACTCCAACATGACTACTCTAAGTCTCTTCTATGAATCCTCTATAACTCCTCTATGACTCCTCTATGACTCCAATATGACTCCTCTATGAATCCACTA